CTGCGGCGTTGCCGCGTCTCTTACTCACCGTGCCCTGAGATAGTAAGAGACGAGAGAGAGAGAGAGAGATGAGAGGCAACAGCCGGGAGAGAAGAAGGAATGAGAAAGGATGAGAGAAGGAGCCGAAGGAGGAAGGAGTAGAAGCGACGAGCTGGGCTCTCGCACGGCCACGAGCGCAGCTCGAACAAGTCTTTCTGCCTTTTCGCGGAGGCAATCGAGTTTGCTCGGGAAGAGGACTGCCTCTCTCGCGAGACCCGTTCCCGGCTACCGCCCGTCACCGCCGCTCCTTGCTCCCGATATCCCGATGTCGCTCCTGCACCGGGGAATCGCTAACTTCTTCGTCACTACTGCCGAAGAGGAAAACTCACTCCGTCTTCTATATTCCTGCAAAACGCGTGAGACACTGCGAAAGAGCATTCGAAACTTGCGCGTGATACGACGAGAGATGTAATGAAAGAGATCGCTCATACCGGAATTCGTTAAAATTTAATCAATCTCTTGAGGAGTTCACCGAGAAAAACTGCGTCGTGGTAGCGATTAATGTATTTACGGTAAAGGAATCAGTGGAGAAATTAGCGAGGAATGAAATGCGGGAGAGAAGAACGGAAGGAAAGTTTTTCATCTATCGCAATTTCGATTTCGTCCACTTCTGATTTCGCATCGGCTCTCGGCTAATGTTCGCTAATGTGCAGTGGAATCGAATGAAAGCAAGTTTCGAGTCTTGGGTGGGGTTTCGCCGGCTCTCTCGACGATCGCATCGTCGGCGAGCAAAACGATGGACTCGCCTCTGCAGTAAATGAGTTCGGAACGCGAGTGGACGGTAGTAGCGAACATGGTACCGTAGCGTTCGAGGGCCTTGCTTCGAGAAAGTAATTGAGTTTCGACTGCCGTATTACAGAACTGGGTTCGTCTAAAATCCTCGAAAGAACTCAATCGTCTGTATGAAAAGGCGAGGCTAAACTATGTATAATCGAGAGATTATTAGTAATCTAAGCTAACTTTTCTAAATTCATAGTTCGTTCTTATTTCAAGACCTTAAGTCTTAAGAAGCTAATACGACTCTTGAACTAGTTCATGACATCTTAAGATTGTATGTAAGACAGACTTAAATATAAGAATCGATCATAAATACCGATCTAAAAATTTTGTGATCATAAATACTTCTATTATTTCGTTTAAACACGTAGATTTTAAGTGTTTTTAATTTTTAGAAAATAAATATACTATAATTACACAACGTATATTTATGGGTGTTCCACCAATTTTGCTAATGTTAAAAAACCAATTAATCGCCGATCTGAAGCCGGTGTGAAGTTGGCACCCCAATTATAAAATTTTTTTTTTTTTTTAGCTAAATCAGCGGAACTATTGTTAAAACTTAGCAGGAACTGTAGAACTCTTCGAGAACTTTAGAATTTCGTGATAAAAATTGATTTTTGCGATACTTGGGGTGCCACGCGAAGTTGGCACCCCAATTATAAAATTTTTTTTTTTTTTTTTAGCTAAATCAGCGGAACTATTGTTAAAACTTAGCAGGAACTGTAGAACTCTTCGAGAACTTTAGAATTTCGTGATAAAAATTAATCTTTGCGATACTTGGGGTGCCACGCGAAGATGGCACCCCATTTATACAATTTTTTTTTTTTAGCTAAATCAGCGGAACTATTGTTGAAACTTAGCAGGAACTGTAGAACTATTGTGGGTGCAAACGGAACTGTATAAAATATCGATTTTTTTCAAAATGGGGTGCCAACTTCACACCGGCCGATCTGAATCGATGGTATATAGCGAGAGGATAAACAGCAAAGGAACATGTGCATTCAAAACTTCACACGGTAAGTAGTTTAAGAACTTGATCTCGCAAAATGTCACACGTCGATGAAAAATGTTAAGTTCCGATAATTCGCGAGCAAGCTCTCGAAGCAAACGATATTCTCGAAGTAACGGTTGCGCACATGCCTGTAAAGTTCGGGAACTAAGGTAATGATCGCACGAGTGCGATCGAAGGATAAAGTTCGCGAATGTTAGCAGCAGCGGCGACGGCGATGGCGGAAGGAAGAGCAGCGGGAAGATATCGTGGGGGTAAGGATAACGAGGAGCTCGCGTTTCGTGCAAGTCGGGGGAAACGAAGTTAGCCGCCTCCATCGGCAGACACGGTCCACTGGGAACGGATCCTTGGTAAGTTCCATTAAACGCGTTACGTACCGGGAGGGGGAGAAGAACTCCCGAGGGGCAGCCAGGGAAACTTGCCGCGGCTATGTCCGCGGTGGCCGCGATCGCGCAGGATGTAATTTGAAGATCTCGAAACTGAAACAGCCGAAATTTGCCAAGAACAAGGAATACGCGAACGGAGGGGAGGGTCTTGATTATTATCTAGTCAAACATAAAGAACAGATGGCTCCTTACATCCAAGACATTCTCTAAATTTGAATCAGTGAAATTCAAAAAGGAAGTTTGCGTAGTGTATAATTAAAATATCAATATTTGCACGTTTCAATACTATATACATTGAATTTATATACTAAAACAAGATTAGCTAGATAAAGTTCCATTGATTTTTCATTGATTACATTTCCCTGTGAATTCACTGATTACCAGTGGTATAATTCGGATTAATGTGATTCAGATTTAGAAAATATTTGTAAATTGATACAAATTATGTTTCATATAATATAAGAAGTTAAATCTTTTTTTCCTATAATCATCAAAAATATGTAATAAATATTAGGAGGAAAGAGGGAGAGGATTATATTTCAATGTGAGAAGCTCTATTATTCCATTTTCCACTAATTTCTAGTGTTTAAATTCCCCGCCCGTAATCGGAGGGTTTCAAACGCTCGTGTGCATTTTATTTTACATAAACGCTCCAAAACCACATTGTATAAAATAAGGCGGGGCGCCGCGAGTTTGCTGGTCGAGTTGAAGGCGTCTCTATGTCTCGAGCCGCGCCGACCGTCCCCAAAAGCGCGACGAAACGATCCCCTTTTAATCCCTGAACGCTAACTACCGGCACCTCGGATGATCTTGCAATTCGGAAGATTGGTCCGCATTACGAAATTATCGTTATTCCCCTGTACGAAAGGAGAGAATGAGAGAGACCGCGGAGAGGGCGAGCCATCGAGATGCCCGAGGCGCCAAGCTTTTTTTCAGTTAAAATATGGAAAACGTTCCGGGTAGCCCGTGTGGATGATCTTCAGAAACGCATAATGGGACTGGAAGGCCAATCTTGGCTCCGTTAAATCACGTTCGCAACGATCGGGACGAGGGCAGTGCACACAGAAGAATCCTTTATCCGAGCAAACAACATCCATCGCCTCGAGACACTGACTTGGTGCTCGTAAGAAGGAAAAAAAGGGAGGAGCGAAGAAAAAGAAAATTAAAAATGCGTTGCCGTGAATCTCAATGCGACGAGGAATTATATCGCGATTAAGGACAGAAGAGAAACAAAGAACTTAATTAATGTAAGTGTACCTTAAATTCCTTCCCCTCGTTTTCATCCGAATATACTTGGAATAGAATAAAATGAGTTCGAGAGGAATATAAGAATAAGAGGTCGTCAGATTATAAAAGAACGATTTTGATGAAGTATCTAAAGATTTAGCTATCAAAATAATTATGTAGGACGTTCAAAAACTGGTTGCCAGAATGTCAAAAGTTTTTGCAGCGTTGCTTGAGATTCCTACGTAATTATCTTGATGGTTCGACGAAATTATTTTCAGATTTGCATCTAACTTCTTTAGATACTTTGGCAAAATCGTTCTTTCATGAAGAATATTAAACACACATAAAAGTTTCGCTAATATAAAAACAATCTCTTCAATCCTTATGCTGCAGCGTATATATCACAATATTAAAAGAGATGTTAAATAAGAACTAGAGACTTTTATCTCACGGGATTACAAAGAGACGAAAAAAAAGGAGTAGGCGAATTATATAAAATAACGATCTAATATGAGTTACGGTAGATGAGGAACTCTCAATAGCCGCCACGTGATCGGTCGCTAGGATAGACGTGTGTAAGTATAGCGGCGCGTACGCAATTAGTGTCGTGGCAATTTGGTCTTTCTTTCTCTCTCTATCTTCCTTTCGTATTCAGCGTCTCCGTGCAATAAATCACGCGGCCGCCGCGCCGTGCCGTGCCGTGAAATTACGACCGGAGCGTCAGGAAACGTCGACTTGATGCGAACTAACGTGTCTCTTACGCTCGCTTCTCTGTTAGTCGAAAGAAGGACCAATGTTTCAGATCAGGACAAAGGAGTGTTTGTGAAGTTAATACGGCGTCTTACTAATTTTCAAGAAAACAATATTAATTCTTTTCGTTTCTTTATTTTGATAAGGAACTCTAGAATTGTGAAATGCATGCTATTGGAACTGTCGTCATTTTTGTATTAATAGAATGGCGTGCAAACTTCACAAAATCTAGACAAAAGAGATATAAAATGACTATTACTACAATAGTCGTACTAAGATCTTTTCCGTAATTAATTAATTCATATTAATTTGTTTTAGTAATATCACGTTACAATTATTTCCAGCCAACCTTAATTTACTTATATAATTGAGGTTACTTTACACCAAATTGTTTCTCCTAACAAAACGATCGACGAGTTCAAAAAGTATTTTAATTTCCAGATTAAAAGAGGCAGCTTTAGTAGACGCGAAGATAATTAAGTTATCCGCGATTCGAGTTGACGATAAGCGATCATCGAAGAACTCCGCCTTCTCGAGACAATCGACAGATCGGTCGATCACGTGGCAACAGCAGTGCGGGCGGTTAACTAACTGCTTTGGATCCTACCTAACCCGATACATCTGGCTAAGTATATACATCCGAGAGTGGCAATCGGACGCGATGTATCGCGACCTGAGGTGTCGCCGTGGACCATCATCTCGGGTTGATTAGCCCTACGTAGATGGGTATAGGCAGAAGAAGGTAATGAAGAAGAGAATAGAGAACCGAACGAACGCGAATGAGCGGATGGACGAACGAGCGCGCTTACCTTGTTCCGCCTGGGTCCCTCGCGGGCAGATTAGCAACAGCAGCAACGGCAGAAGGTGGGCAGCGGAAGCAGCAACGGCGGCGCAGGTGGCTAGGAGGCCTGC